AAAGGTGGCATTTAAAATACGTGAGCGGCGAGTCCTTGTGTTCAACTCATGCAAACGGAGTTAGGCCGGTTTTTGTGCTTTCAAGAACTCATTTAAATTCAGGTGTTTTCTCAACCATTGATCATGACGTTTTGAATGTGTAGCCAACTTCATTTTTAGGCTGCATAATTATGCTTAGGACATTTTGTTTGTATGAACCTTGTTTGGAGACCAGGTTAAAAATATTATTGAGAATGATATTATATTATATTTTCCTAAGATCTGATGTTTATTATTTTCTGTGTTTTTATCTTTATTATATGTTAATAATGGTTAGTTCAAAACCTTTTATGGTCTTCAATGTCCACAACATGATTCTCAAGCTTTTATTGCTACTACTGCTAATTTAATTTTTTCAAACTTTAAACTTGCTTGAGCATCAAATAAAATGGGTGTTCCATTAGCGGACCACTGCACTTTAGCGTCTCATGCTGTTATGCATCAAAATATCTGTTTAGGTAAAAAATCGTTGTGTATTTTCTATTTCCATTGTTTTGAGGGAATGAATTCAAACAAAGCAGTCTTGGGGGTGGTGGTTGTGCAAAAAGCCCTAATATAGGTATCTTGAAATTTTTGTGAGTAGTTTTCAGTAGGTGGGAATTTTATCAGTAGTTTGTGTCATCTTTATTTAGGGAAGTTGCGTGAATTTTTTTGCTGTCGCTTTTTAAGTCTCATTCCCGTTTATTTACAATAAATGTGTAGATATTGTTTTGTATATCTTATAGCTTATTTTTCTTTATTTTTAATATTAATTGAAGTTAATTTTTTTTAATTAATTTTCCATAAATGGCATGGAGAGGTCTAACTTTTTCCGAAGAGCTAAAAGTGCTTCATGAATTACCCTCTTATTCTGAATCAGAGCATGAAGATAGCAGTGATACTGAGATATATGTTATAGAATCACTTGTGTAATCCCATGATGATATGTAGGATGAAACTTATTTATTTGATCAGAAGATTGACAATCAATCTCAACCAAGCACCTCTATACAGCCTGTATAGAGGTGCTTGGTTGAGATACAGCCTGGATAGAGGTGCTCCTACCTGTATACAGTTTCTGAAGACTCTGGATTAAAAGAAACAATTGGAAACAGTTGTGAATCAGTATCATTGCTTCCATCCGTAGAGGGGCAGAACAAAGCTGTTTTAATGCAATCAATAACTGAAGATTTATTTTTCAAACCCCTTTTTTTAACAATTGCACCTGTTTTGGTCCTTGCACTTGAGTATTTCTTAGTGATTTCACTACCGGGAAACATTTTTCTAAATAAAGCTGCAGCATGATCCGATGCATTCAGTGGCAGGTTGTGCTCCAGTAAAAAAGCAAAGAACAGACATTCTGCATTAATAACTTTTTGGTCCTTTGTTTCCGAAGAAAAATTTAATTTTTCGTTTTTTTCAAAACAACTCATGTTGCCTTGTGTTTTTGTGTAGGCACATGTTTGAGAACATCCACCTTTCCACCATGCGAAATCGAAAAATCGCAACGACAGATGGTACACATCGCAAATTTATTACATTTCCTTGAGGAAATAATGGAGGGAAAGTAAACTGTGTACGATTTTTGAAATGTACACGAATATTTCCCTCCATTATTTCCTCAAGGAAATGAATAAATTTGCGATGCACCGCCTGTCGTTGCGATTTTTCGATTCGCATGGGGAAGGTGGATGTCTCAAACTGTGCGTACACAAAACAAAGGCAACATGATTGTTTGAAAAAAACGAAAAAAAAATTTTCGGAAACAAAGGACCAAAAAGTATTAATGCAGAATGTCTGTTCTTGCTTTTTTACTGAGCACAACCGCACTGATGCATGGATCAGCTGCAGCGTTATTTAGAAAAATTTCCCAGTGAAATCACAAGAAATACTCAGTGCAAGGACCAAAACAGGTGCAATTGTTAAAAAAAGGGGTTTAAAAATAAATCTTCAGGTATTATTTATTAAAACAGCTTTGTTCTGCCCCTCTACGGAAATGTACACAATATTTCCCCTTCTCGCAGACCAAACAAAAGATGATATTTTAAACTATTTCCCAAGGCATGTGTACTCACACAACTCAGGACAAAAGAATGAAATAACTAAAGAAACATCCAATAACAGCTTGAGCTTGCTTTGTGCTCATGGCTATATATACCAGATGAACGCAGTAGAGCTCGATGCCCATTGGAGAACTGGAGAACGATTGTTCTGGATACGATAGCTCTCACTCACAAAGCAGAAGTTCTCATCGATTCAAAAGGTTTGTTTTAGATATAATCTAGAGAAAATTCAATTGCTTTCAGTCGTCCACAATCACTTTTTTTTTTTTTTTTTTTTGTTTGTTTGTTTGTTCATATAACGAAGTATTAAGCCAGGTTTCATAAAAATCGTGAGAAATTTTTAAGAATAAGAAAAAGTCGGAAGAAATATATTGTAAATCGGGTTGGCGGGAGAGCGGTCAAAAATTGGGAGAGTTGGCAACTCTGTACATTATATAAATTTTGTTTAATTTCTGTGAAGCAGGAAATGGTTTTTCCGTTTGCCTGCGCAAGCGATACAGCCGCCAGTAATGGTACAACCGATGCCAACGGAATATTCTCGCTGGTAACCTTTTACGCCTCATTTCAAAACAAGTCGCAGCTTTCTTATCAGATTGATTGTTTCTTTCAATACTGGCATATAATTACAAAATTTTTATCAGATAGTTCAGTTTTATGTCTAAGGTCATTTCGGAATGAAGTCAATCAGGACGCAATACCCGAAGCCGAAAATATAGAAAAGGGTAAAGTCAAGGGTTAAATTCATCAATTCTAATGAGAATGCATTAGCGAAGTAAAGCACTGCAGGTTTACATAATTCATGAGTAAGCTATTCGTACGAATTTAAATATTCTTGCATTTAAACTGTGTTCCAAATTAAGATTTAACTTGAAATTAATGTAGATAATTACTGAGAGCCATTAGATTTTTGTAGTAGAGTAGTTTACGTGAGATGAGATCGCTTGGGGGTCACGTGATATGAACCGGCGAATCAGGATGTTGAACCATGAAAGCATAGTAAATTCTTAAATTAATGTCTTTTTACAAATTTATTGCCTTAATTTATTGGCTTTTTATAAAATTTTAAGCAATATTAAAATATTTATGCCTTCAAAAAAAGTACTCTTAGAACTAACATTTTTTTTAATATTTTTTATGTGTATACTGTATGTTGTCGCCAATAAAGTCTGCTTGGTGAGATTTGCACCGGTCAAACGGAAAAGTACCCAGGAAATTTAATGCAACATTAGAGAATATTCATATGATGATATAGCTGTCAGAACTGTCATAGTTGTAAGATGTAAAAGACATCAGCTTTGCTCACATCTATGCAAGAAGATCTAAGCTGTAGCAAACCAAAGAAGGTAAATTTGCACATGCAAGAATGTGTAGATGATTTAATAAAATTGTTGACCAGATGTCAGTTTGCGTTTGTTCTACTGTGACTAGTTGATTATAATGCCATTTTGATTTAAAGTTGAAAAGTCAGATAAATTTACATACACAACATAGCAAAAGTTTGATTGCCAAGCAACAAAATTTGGCTTTTGCCAGTCTGTAAAGCCTATTGTGTGAATGCTCCATTATTGACAATAATTTTAAATATTTTTAAAACTGAACCTAATTTTTCAAAACCTTACCTTACTTTCTTGGAGATTCTGAGAACAAGCCAGAATGAGACACATAGCACATGCTTGAGCTTCCTGCATATAAAATAAAAATTTATATAAAGAAATTTAAAACAAGTTTTATGAAATATAGCATAATATTCTACACTGAAGGTTACAGTCTATTTTTCCACAATTCTGAACTGCACAAAATGGCAACTTTATCTGAAGTTATTTATTTCTTTATATTCAAAAATTTCAACTATCAACAAATTCTAAAATTTCAACCATGCATTGAAATAAAATATCCTAAATAATTTCAAATTAGACAGATTTTAGGTAAAATTCTAAATAAAACGGCTCAAGTCTCATTCTGCCCAATTAATTCCTTATTTCAGACCACATAAACTATATTACATCATTTACAAGGAATGGTGAATGAGGCAGTTACATATTTAAAAAAAAAAAATATTATGAGACAAACTAAAAAAATTCACAGCTCACCAGCAGCTGAGCGGTAAAGTCGTCGAACACAGGCATTTTGTCCTGAAGTTCGAATACCCAGACTGTCTGTATGGCTGTTTTCGTGGTTTTCCCTATATGCAACATGTATACAAGCCAGTAACCCTTAGAAAGTCCTCCGCGAAGGCATCCCTCAAGCATATAGCCCTTGAGGATTTGCCGTAATCACATAAACTAAACCAAACTTTAAAAAAATCATAATAATCCTCTTATACAATTAAAAGTATAAAAACAAAGACTGGAATTGATTAATTTCATTATTACTACTTTGTTGTTGTTTTTTCTCTCAACTTACTGCATAAAATCAATATAACAGAACCTTATCTATCTAAATTGAGGAGGTCCAGAACAGATTTACCCAATAATTCCTCATGCTTAAAAATATTTACTAGTAATTTTTACTATGAAATATTTACTTCAAGTAAATATTTACTAATTAACATAGCATTATTTACTTAAAATCAGTACAAATTTTATTTTCAAGCATTATTTTATTGTGACATTCAAGTTTTTAGCAAAGCAAGCTGGAGACGGGAAAAAATGTCATCCCAAGTCTTAACTCATAAAAAATATTGCTATTTTAATTTTAGGCTTTCATGCTTCAGTGTTAAAATAATTAATTACATCTTCTCTGACAGGATGATAGTGTCAGATTAACAGACATGATGTCCTCATGTTGCACGATGATATATATACATTTTCACCTTGCAGAAAAGATTATATAGACTCTCAGTGAACTGCATTATTAAATTCTCCCTCACCAGCCATATTCCCATGACTCATCTCCCACTGACTATCATTACTTTTACCATTCTGGCCACTTAGCCTTAGAAAAATTTGTTAATGATAGAAGACCAACATGCAGTTGATAACTTATTTGCACCACAAATTCCTGAATTCCTTTGCCAACAAATCCAGTTTTGGCAAAGCAATAATAAAAGTGTATGGGCACCAATAGAGATGAATCTACTTACCATCTGAAAGTGACAAATGCCTGTTACATTGTTTCATGCACCAACCTAATATGAAGAGCTTTTATTGCAGAAATTAGAACTAACAAAACTTTTAAATTATTTTGATAACTACAAAATTATATAACATTTAAGGAATAACAGTAGAAATACAGATAATAATTGTATAGACTAAAAATATTACTACTACTGTGTTTCAATAAAACACAAATGGCTCACCCACAAAAGAAAGTAAACACCAAAAATTATTTAAAGGGGGAAAGAAAAAGAAGTAAGTCTATTAAGGAATTGTGGATGTAAGGTGCACATAAAAACAATCATGTGTTTTATTCAAAAGAAAATTATAATAATAAAAGGCTGGCTGCATGTATCTGTGGAGTTTGATAATAGATGATGCTAAGGTTAATGTTTGGTGTGGTTTAATTAAAAGCAGAACTTTCAAGTTCTTTGGTAAAATACCTGTTACTGGCACAAATCATCCGAATATGAAACAATACTTTAATTTGCAAATCCTGGATAATCCAGACACTTTCAGCAAAGTGGTACCCTTCCTAATTTGTTTGACATTTACAGTAACTCAAAGTATTTCTTACAAGGATGGTGAAGTCAGCAGAGAGGCCCTATAGAAAGACTATCTCATTTGTCTAAAATTATCTGGTTTGCTTTCTTTATAGCTGTACGAAAAGCAATGGTTGCAAAACAAATGAAATATCGCTAACCTTCCTGCATTTTACAACATGAATAGGTAGCAGAAGTAGGCTAACATCTAAATGTTACAGCTTATAGAAAGCACACAGGAACATAATAAATACATGGAAAAATTCTAAATAACTGGTATATCTATTAAAAGTAATTTGAGCATTATGAAATATCCTAGTGTGCAAAACTTAAACAACAAATTCATGTTTCAACATACAACCATGAAATTATGAAATTGGCTTTTTGCAATCAAAGTTAAACCCAGTAGAAAAATTATGCATATTCAAATATCAGCACGACGTCAGAGGGTATGTAAGATTACTCAAAATGCAAGGAGTCAGCATGCAGTGCAAGGCAAAAGAAGAAAGGAAAGCACATTTAAAGGCATTCTGCAAATGAAAAGTGAGATTGTACATGCAGTATACCTATAACAAAACATAAGGACACCTCTACACATGGCAGAATGATTGGCATGCTTGAGAAGGGGCACAGTTTGATGTCTGTCACCTAAGTGTTTGGAATTGACAATTTCACAACATTGGAAAGCCTTTCAAAAGATAGGTAGAGCTGTAAACAGGGTGTGTACACATTTCTGCACACGGAAATTAAGTACTTTTAAGGACTTTTAAGGACCATTAATGGAAAAAATTAAGGACCTATGAGTAAATGGGAACTGATAATTCAATTAAAATATTATTCTATGCCTGAATTTCACTTTTGTAATACCATCTAAAAAAAAATAGATCCTAAGTAGTATGCATTATTACTAAACATGAATTTAATTAACATATTATTAAAAGTTTGAGAATAAAATAAACTTAGGCAATTTTCAAGTAGCATTAAATATTTTACACTTAATAGTTGTGAATATTTGAAAGAAGATAATGACATTTATGTTTTTACTAATAAGCTTTAGTTGATTTTTTATCTCATTTTCACATACTTGGTCAGTTAGAGGTTTAGTAAATGCAGGTATTAGATTTTATGTCAGGAATAGTTAAATGAGAAGTCGATCATAATAGCATGATTCATAACAAAAGACTGAATGTTGTCAACGCTGTGATTGTCCAAGAGAGACATGCTGATTCGAACAACTGAAAGGCCTGATGAAGGCCGGTTGGCAAGTGTTGAATTTAGTCAGGCTCTGTTGATGCAGTTAGTAGGTATAGTTTGTGTAAACAGGGGTTGCAACCCAGTTAATGTACTTTCAGGTTCCAATAAGCCATTAAAGCAACCAGAGGTGATAAGTTGTTTTGTATTACTTTAAGTCTAGATGCAAAGTATAAGTTTTACTTGAATTTCTACATTTTAGTGTTTTATCTTGTGACCACAGTGAGTATTAATGAAAGGCAATAACTTGCTTTAATACGTAGAGATAATTTTTAAAGGTAAGCAGTTAGTTATAAATAATTAAATTAGGTAAATAGGTAACCTTAGTCATTATGGATTTACATGGCCCACTATTAATTTTATTTTTTAACAATATTTGTTAAAAAAAGCCCTATTAAAATCAAAATCTAAAAATTGCACAGTTTAAATACCATGTAATTTATGACACTGATTCTTAAACGATATTAGATTAATTACACATTAACAGCTACAAAACATTACTGTTTTGTAATAACAACACTCAACAAAATGTTTATCCATCATTTTAATTTGAAGCCTTCCCAAACATTTTGGATACTTTATATTAAGCATCTTTTCTAACAATGAGAGATTTGTCCCAATATGCAAAACAATGCTCTCGCTGGTTTCTGTGTGCTTTATCTCCTAATTTAACAACCTCTCCACAATGTACCTATGAGGGTTTACTTGATCTGGTAAAAGTTAAATAGTCCCAAACCCCAAAAGACGTGAAGCATTATATGTCTGAAAGTAATTACAATCTCAGACAAAGGTTTAAATAAGCCTCTATTTAAAAAGAACTTAGAACATAAGCATGATTAACAAAATCAATTACGCTCATGTGATAATTAAATAACAGTCAAATCAAAATCAAAATGTAGAATAGTGGATACTAGTACAATTTGGTATTTAAAATAGCTAATGTTAGTTGAATTGTAATTAAATGGTTTTATTTCCCGGCGTGCAGCGCGTGACGAATATTAAAAGAAAGCTAAGCCGAAAATTGAAAATAACACGAGCGCGTGCATTTAACATTTAATAAATATCTCTTTTTGATTTCGAGAAAGTATGAAAATTCTCGCACGCGATTTTAAAATCTTATAAAAGGAGGAAAACCTCTCAGTTCGTAGTAGTTACTTAGTTTGTTGTTGTTTGAAAACTGCTCTTGTGACTGTAGCGAATTCGCGGATTAGCTTTCTCTAGCTGTTTTGAATTAAGTTCTCTTGAACGTTTGAGTAGTTAAAAGATAACTACTGCGAGATATTGTAATACTGCATGAATATTTTAGGAAATTTAAGAATTTTTATTGTGATAATAATAAATTTTGTTCATTTTTCATCGGACTTGTGCATTCATTTTGTAATGAACCCATACGCATGCAACAATACAATTTAATTTTAATTTAATCTGGCTTAGTAACTTTTATCATTTGAGAAAATAGAAATGGGAAATTATAGTAAAGACTGAAATCATAAACAATTGGGTAATTTACATAATAATAACTGCACATATATTTGAAGAATAATTTTCTTTATGTATTCAGTTTCTTTCTTCAACATGTTTCCTTTTCATTTTAGAATTTTGGGATTTAATTAAGGATTTCTCTTATTCTAAAAAAACACTAAATGCATTTAGAATATATAGAAAAAGTGGCTAATTTTATTTCTTTAGTAATATGAATATTCAGAAAAAATATGAAATATATATGGTAAAGGCCGGTTACAGAGCTGGTGTGGTAGAATGTTAGATTTAGTGACACACGGAACAAACAAACTCTAGAATGGCAGAACTCTTAGAATTTAGAGCAGACATTGGAAGCAGAATTTAAAAAGGCACTAGGCAGCAGAATTTAGGATCCACAGAGATTGCTTTTTATATTTTTCGAAAGACAGTGTCTTATTATATCTTTATTGCACTTAATAATGAGTTTGAGTTTTAAATTACAATTATGTTAAAAGTAAATTAGATACCACAGTGATAATATTTTTATGTTTAAAAATGATAATTTATTATTCAATTTTTAAAATTTTGTTACATCAACAGGTAATACTAAATTCAAAAGTAGAAAAAGAATTCTATTTGCGGAAAATCCTTAGTGCCCGCTCTGTGTATGATGCATTAAGACATATTAGATGAATCTTTTAAATTGTAAGTTTTCAATTTATTAATAAAAAAATCCCTTTATATAATCCTGCCCAAATGATAAGATTAAGCATTTTCGAGTTTCCATGCTTATTCTAGTGAAAAGTGAGAAAATAAAGGAAGATAAACATGTTAAAAAAAGATTCTAGTATCGGAGTAAAACATCAAATATTATGTTTTCGTTGTTCTTCCAGACCTCCAAAAAATAAGAAATTTATCGCAATCTTTCTGTAAAATACATCCATTACGTGTTGATACCATGGAGATATTTTTCATTTTGTCACATATTCTCGAATCTTCTAGAATCGGGGTCTATAATCTTGCCTTCAATCCTTCTAAATTTCCAAGCTGCAATGTTTAAAATACTTTAAACTACTATTCTGTAAACAAAAAGCTAAATATTTTGGGAGAGAATGGGGAGGGAAAAATGTAAAATTAAAGCAAAACTGGTGCTTTTTCTGAGAATTTCGAGACAATTAATTACATGGGAAAACGCTTACTACGAAAAAATTAAAAGAAGACCCTTTTTAATTAATACTAGCTAATTTTGCTTTTGCTAAGAGCGTTTCCTAAATGATGCTTTATAGCATTATACTGTGTTTTTCAGAGTTGCCAACACTTTATATAATAAAAATGTTTTAAGTTAAAATATAATTATATATGATGTTTTAAAAAAAATCGTCGACAAATTTTCAGATCTCAGAATTTAAAATTTTCTATAGAAACCGATCTTATCGCCAAAATGTTGACAAGTTGCCAAATTTAGAACCGTTTAATAAAAAAATTCACATCCCCAAAAGCGAAAACTTGTTTAACAGCTCTTTATGAGAAAAAATGCATTTCCAAATGCTTATGTTTTTAGTTCTTGCTTAGAAACTTGAGTATTCCATCATTTATATTAGAAATAGAAGCAAATTCCATTCAAAAGATAACCATATATGTCAGTAAATCACCAAAAATATTCCTCCAAAATGCTAATTCACACTCAAAATGACAGTCATAAAAACAGACAGAAATTTCAGATGATTAAAATTATGGACCTTCTGCTGATTTTGGCCCAAATTAAGGACTTTTAAGGACTCTTAAGGACCGTACGAACCTTGTGTAAGAAAAAGATCATTAGTGGTCGGCCAAGGAAAACAACGGTGACTTATGACAGTCAACAATGCTCAGCAGTTATGCACAGCAAGCAGACAATAGGTAACCCGACTTGCTGTTGCCAGACAACTTCAGAATAGTGGTCTATTCACCTGCCCTCCTGAATGCTGCAGGCAGTTGACAGCAACCTACTGGCAGCACTAGCAGGTATAGAGAACACATAAAGACTAGACATCTTATCAATGTCCTCTTTACCAAAGAGGGTTGTTTCAGTCTGACAAATGATCCTCTGAGCTAGCTGATATGAAGTGAGGCAGCGACATGCTTTCATACCACTAACATCAGGGAAAGGGACCATTAGGATGTTTCTAGTGTGCTTGTATGAGGAGACATTTTAATGAATAGATGGATGGAGCTCCACATTTTCCACACAGGTACACTGACTAGAGATTGTTATTGTGGTGAGATTCTTCTACCCCACATGTATTTTTTCCAAAGGTGCTACTGGCCCCGACTTTGTTTTCATGGATGATAATGCATAGGATACATGCTGTTATGGTCCTTCTGGAAAGTGAAGATATCCAAAGTGGCCATCATGCTCTCCTGATTTAAATCCCGTTGAACATGTATGGGATACTTAACAAAAATGCCTAATGACACGATCTTACCCTCTGGAGAACACCAGACAGGCGAAACAGATGCTCCTTGAAGAATGAGAACTCTTACCCCAAGAACTGTTAGAAAATTTAGTGTTGAGTATCGACAGATGGTTCACACAAGCATTGTAATTAGGGAAGTCATATTACTTACTAAAACACTTTGATTTGATGTTCTCCTTCATGGCCAGACAATTTTGTACATCAATGCCATTCCATCAAAAAAACCTTTTTCAACTCATTCTGTAGTGTACATGTCTTATTCATTTTTTGCTACTACACTTTTTTCATCTTTTAAGGGCTACATTGTATCTCTGTACTACAAACTTCATTTCTTCCAGTTGATGTTTTGTGGAACTACGGTCAAAATCAGAAAAGTTGCTTCCAACGTCTTTAAAATTATTTAATGTTTAGATTTCAAAACAAACTGACCTTATGAATCATGAAAAAGGCCTTTACAGCTTCAGCATCAGGTCCTTTATTATCAAGCAAGAGTTTGTACAGTTGATCAACAGGCCTTGGTTTTCTAAACAGAAAACTACCCTGTAGAACAATAAAGAAATATTAATAAATATTGTACAATAACAATAAATATTATAAATATACCAATTCTTTTATGAATTATTCAGTTTTAATTTCAAATGCATTCAACTATGATGTAGTTGAAAACATCCATTTTTAAAACTTAAATGTTTTTTATAAAGAAAGCATACAAATTCTTATTAAGAAGACAACAGTTGTAAATATTTTATTAGTGTGATTGTTGAATTATAATAAAATGTTTAAATGATAGCTGGCCTCTTTTTTAAAGGGGTCAATTCAAAATTTATTTTATTTCAAAGACTAATAGATTTCAAATACTATTTAAATACAACATATTACATGTTAAATTAAAAAGGTTGTACATCAATGTTGTAGAATACAGTAATCTTGCTCTCTCCTATAATTAATTTCTCTTTTGACCATTTTCAGCTATATTCGGAATATACATTCAATGTCTTATTTGATTTTTCAGTCTATTTTTTTTATTTATTTATTATTATTATTATTATTATTTCTAAATCTAAAAACAAATTTGAACTCATTTTATGACAATTTGGCATGCATAAATTATATTTTTTAACTTTAGAATGGCAAGCATTTATTAGTAATCAATAGTAAATTATTAACATATTTTAAAAGGAAAAATTACATTTGTGAATTAAATGTCGATTTACTCTCTAAAATTTCCAAATTTTGACACTATACTAAGCAAAGAATGAATATATGTACTTTTTCACTTTATCTTTTTTAAAAAGATATAAGCTATGAGTGCTACATAAAAACAACATCTAAATTTAATTTCTATATAAATAATGCCTGCTAGCTTATTCATCTACAAAAACAAATCTGTTGATCTATAATACGAGTCTATACTATTTGTTTATTTTCTCTTAATTACCGTAATTTATGGAAGAAACGCCGCGGCGTTTCCGTGTTTAACCCGTCAGCACACGCGCTGAGGTAAAATCCACCCCACGTGTAGTCTTTTCTTAGAAAATAAGGGACGGTCGTATGTGATCTTTCTAGTACTTTATGTACTTTCAAGATCAAGTTAGGAAATGGTCATCCAGAGGAATTTTTCCCGTGTCCTTGGGATTTTTGTGTTTTCGGGGAAAGCATGTGCAACGGGATTGTAGCTACCCCGTGCGTGTACTAACGTTCCACTTCTAGGGAGACATTCATTGAGATAAGTGTGTACGAGAGAGAACAGTAACGACTGCGGGTTCTTCTCGCTAATGTTGAGACTCGTAGCAAAATTGAAGATTCCGATTCTGAGTGTGATAATATTTCTGAAAGTGCTCACGAAACTGATTCTGACCAGTATTATGATGATTCACATGATCTTCTTTGACATCAGATGATTTTTATGTTTGAATAGATGGAACAATATGAAGTAAAAAATTACCCTCGAAAAATGTTCGGACACGGCCGCACAATATAGTGTCAAGAAAAGCTTTAGAAATTTGAAAAATCCAACTGAGTGTTTATTGCAAATTTTTGATGAATAAATAATGGAAGATTTGGTGAAATCAACAAACATTTTCATTTCATCAATAAGAAACAAATTCTCTAGACAACGTGATGCACAAGAGACAAACGTAGCTGAATTGAAGGCGTTGTTTTCCCTATTATATTACGCTGGAGTGCTGAGAGCAGCACTCTAGCGTTTGTAAAAATCTTTACTTGTTTGTAAAAATATGTTGTCACACTACGTGAGGATTGTCAATGTGAGGAGATTATGTGAATTATAAACTCAGGTGGGAGGGTGGGGGGAGGAAAAACTATGTGTTATTTATATTTTTTAATATTCTTAATTAGAATCTATTCTTTGATATGATTAATTGTATGACATTATATTGAGTTCAGAGGAAAAAAGCTAGTAAGAATGAAGCCTTTTCATATTCCTCTAGTACTTTATCAAACCACTCTTTATAATAAATACTTATGTTTAAAAACTATGTATATATGAAAACGGATTTTTCTAATATAAAAGAATCACATATGTATTTTATATAAGTTAGTAATTTTGCATAAATTTCGATTTTTATGGCTTACTTTATGTAACCAGTATGGAAATGTTTGTATAACTTAAAGTAAGATTATCTCGAATTAAAACTGGAGAAAAGGTTTAAGAGAATTCACAAAGCTGTTAGTCATTTATACATTCATTGAAAACAAAGAAAATGCATTTATTTATACGTTGGGGGGTGAACTCCGGAAAACAAACACTGGGGTAAAATTCGTCCCGCGCGTGTACTAACGTAGCGCAGTGATGCGTGTGTGCTGAAGGGTTAAAACTTAAATTTTCAGCGGGTGCAGCGTTTCTACCCATGCGGTGTTTAGGTGCACTAAAAATAAAATATTTTCTATGTTGGTCATTGTACATAGTTTGGATGGCCTTGTCATTGTGCATAGACTGGTGCTGTTCCCACACAAAAGACCACTCAGTTGCTTTTTGCAAACGTTATTTTGTTTACATTCTTTCCCTTGAATACGGACCTATGTGCTTTATTCATCCTAAATGGAGATCTCGGAACAATAACATTCTTCCCTCTTTCAAATCAGCGTTCTCATCAGTTTCGAATAGTCTCTCTTCTCTGCCATTCGATGAACCTTCCAGGACCTCATCCTCTCCCCACCCCTGCCTTTTCCATTGTAATTCTACTGCAACTTTTTTCAAAGGTGGGACACCACCTGCATTACAATAATGAATTCTGGCATATTTCCCCTTCAGCACAAAATGATTTTTCTTGGCATTCTGCCAGATACAGATCCCATCAGTTTGGGTGCAAGTACTTGTTGGATAGTTTTTAAGTAAGAAGGGAGTGGTAAATTTTTTGAAAATGGCACCTAAACAGCACAGAAGCTATACTGCTGGTTTTAAGCTTAATGTAATTTCACATGCTGAACAAATTGGAAATCGAGCAGCAGCTCGAGAGTTTGAAGTGGACGACAGATATATTCTAGACGTTGGAGAACTGAAAAAGAACTTCTTAAAAATATGCCACAACAGAAACGGGAAAGCCAAAAGAAGTGGTACTGTAAGGTGGCCGAATCTAGAGGATGACCTTGCAAACTGGATAAAGGAGCAACCAAGGAAAGGAGAATGGCAATTTCGACTGTAAAAATTCGCTTACAAGCAAAATTTATAGCAAAAACAAATGAACATAAATGATTTCAAAGGAGGGCCTTGGCTGGTGTAGCAGATTTATGAAAAGAAAAAATATTTCTGTGTGTACTAGAACAACAGTCGGGCAACAATTACCAATGGACTGGCAGGATAAAAAGTCATCTTTTCTACAATATGTGACAGCTATTATTGACAAAAAAAAAAAAAAAAAAAAAAAAAAAAAAAAAAAAAAAAACTTCTTCGGTCGCAGATAATAAATATGGATGAAACGCAGTTAGCTTTCGACTCTCCTGCAAACAGAACTGTTGATGAAACTGGTGCAAAAACTGTATTTGTGTTTATGATGGGGCATGAAAGAACGTCATTTACATGTGTGTTAGCTTGTGCCGCAAACGGCGACAAGCTAAAGCCGATGATCATTTTTAAACGAAAGATTATTCCGAAGGGAGATTTTCCTAATGACATAATTATTTGTGCAAACGAGAACGGCTAGATGTGCAAAACAATCATGCATGAGTGGCTACAAAAAGTTTGGCAGTGTCATATGGGATCTTTTCTCCAACCAAAGGGGTTATTGATAATGGATTCCATGTGTGCTCATTTCTTTAAGTCAGTGAAAACCAGATGTCAAAAATTGTCTACGATCGAAACAATAATTTCTGGTGGTTTGACAAAAATCTTACAACCGTTAGATTTGTCAGGTAATAAATCCTTCAAAGCTGAAGTCCGAAAGCGGTGGGAGTGTTGGATGAGTGAAGGACTGCATACGTAAACCAAAAGTGGTAAAATGCGTAGAGCATCTTATGAAGAAATTGCAAAGTGGGCAGGGAAGTGCGTGGAAATCGGTAGAAACATCGTCTATAATAGCAGGGTTCAAAGAAGCTGAAATTATATCCTTAGATAAAGAGACTGTAAACCAAGAGGATGAATGTGACGATCTGGAAGACTTAGATCAGGATTTACTAAATCTTTTTAATTCAGATAGTGAAGAATCAGATTTTGATGGCTTCATATGATGTTTGCTGTAATTCGTAAGTAAAATTTAAAATTTCCTTTTGTCATCCAAATTTAATATTTCGTTGTTGCAACATTTTTTATAATATAGTCTGAGTATTACAAATATGGACTACTTTAGTGGGTAAATATAAGTATATACGTGAAGGTAAATATATTTTCCACATTTCTTACCTTTAATTTATTTTTGAGTTATGGTTTCATTTCATGCATTTTTCTTAACTGGTATGTCATATATCAGGACTTAGGTTGAGTTTTTGCATCTATACGGCCCATGGCGATGTCACGTGCAATTTAATCTATTGCGGCGTTTTTGTGTAATTTTAATTTTTTCCCCGCCATTTTTCTCGAGTGCGGCATTTGCGCTGATGCGGCTTTTCTTCCGGAAATTACGGTACTATTTTGTTATTAAAACAAAGGTTCCTATATTCAAAGTCATCATGATAAGCCCAATGACATGAAGATTTTTTTTTACTTTTCTAACAACAATAGTTTATTTACTTCCTATTTCAAACTTTCTTTTGCTTTTTTCTGTAGTTTTAAAATAAAAATTAAAAAATCTAAACTTCAACTTTATGGATTTTTCTACTCATTTCTACAAAACATTTATTAAAAACGTTTTACCATTTTCTGAGCAACCTTATTGAGTCTACTAATTTTAAAGAATAACTGATTCTAAATTTAATTAAGTATTACACTGATTGACATACTTTTTTTCTCTTTTTGTTTTAAAAAAGGTCAGAGTTTACTTAAATTTCATTTTAATTAGAAAAGTAGTTTTTTTTTCTTTTTCAAAATTAAAATTTTAATAGAAATTTTAAGTTTTTCTTTTTGTTTCTAAATTCTATCTTTTGTTCCCATATTTTGCCTTTTGAGCAATTACTTTCTTGCCACAGTGTTTTAGTTTCGCTAATGAAGACAAAATGGCAAACCTAAAAATCATTGCTACAATTTTCTTAATCATAGTTTTGATTGTGTACTAAATGAAAGGGCTCGAAGTTTTTTAATTAATTCTTGTAAGTTTTTATTCAAGTCTATTCACTCAAGTTTTATAATTTCGCTTACGTTTTAAATTCATTGGATTATATGCTCTTCGTTCAAAGGTAAATTCTGAATAGTTTCGATTGTGGACTAAATAAAAGTGCTTGAAGTTTTTAATTACTTCTTTTAAGCTTTTATTTAAGTCTATTCACTAAGTTTCATAATTTCACTTATATTTTAAATTCATCGGATTATATGCTCTTCATTTTAAGGTAATGTTTGATTTGAATTTTTCACTAAAGTATTTTATAATTTCACTTAAGTTTTCAAATCTTTGAATAGAAATCTCCTTATTTAAAGTACAAAATCTTAATTAGAATTTTTTTTTTTTTTTTTCCCCTTGCTTTGGGGAAGGGCCAGAATTTTCGGGTGAACTATTATAATTAAAATATATTGAAATGGGTTCATCGGCTAATTCTGGATACAGAAAAGCAAGGATTTTTGTAGAAGAGAGATTACAATTGATTTCATTGTTCCTCCCCCTGACGAAGTGGCATTGAAGTTGATTGAATTCCTCTTCTATTATGTTCTTTTTTCATTAAATGTCATTGATTTTTTTAAATTGGAGTTTTGCTTGTTCGGAGAGTTTTGGTTTTAACTTTTCCTCAATTCTTTATTGCATTTATTGGAATAGTTGAAATTTATTACCTATGACTTTCAATTTTTGGCCTTTGTGAAAAACTGGTTCTAAATTTCTTACTTTACGTCTTTCCTGATATTTTTCAGCAGCTTATGCATTTTGTACCTCGCCATACTATGGTGTCTTATACAACACTGATAAAGGCCACCCAGGAGAAATTTTAGTGATGATGTCCTGAGATGTCATCGCATCTGCTGGCAGTGTTGCATCAATACCCCAAAAAAGAGTTTTTGAAGGAAAAAACAGTGCAGGAATTTAAGAGCATATATGGAATCTAAAATTTTTGCACACAATATACTGAGATATGTTTATATTATAAAATAAATATTTGCCTCTAAGAAATAATGCCATAACACAGTTATGACAGATTTATATCACATGAAGTTTAGATAAACGGGCTTTAAATGTATTCATTTAGTTGGAAAGCTCTATAATTACTCAACCTGTGCAGAAAGAAACACAAATTTCCTTGGAGGATCTCTGTGCTGTGTTACTAAAACTGGTGGATCGCAAGATGTTCCTGAATCATTTGAAGGAACTGTTTGCTTAACATGAGAATCAGCTGGCACTTCTGCAATTGCCCAAGCATGACCATCCAACATCACTGTGGTCTGGTAAGAAAAAGTTCATTTTGAACATAATTTCAGGAATTAAACTTTAAACATTTTGTTTACAATTATAAGCTAACATTTACAAAACTTACATAATAGCAAATCTTAAATACAGCAATTTATAAGAATGAATTTCAATAAGTATACAATTTAGCATTTCTTAAAAACATTAATAATTTGCAAAAAAGCACTTTCAATTCCGAGAACGATAGAATGAAAACTGCATTATACTTGGATAAACACCTTTCAAAAATTTAAATTTTGAATGTTTAAAATTAGATTTTATTATTTTATGAAAATTTTACATAAACAAATGTATACAAGGTAATTTTAAAATATTTGCAAAAATGTAAAAGCAGGTAGGCAGGCAGAAGGAACCGAAAGAAACAAATTTTGTAATGGAATGTGCATGCAAAAATGACATGTTGAATTAATACAGCAGACTGTTGAGTGGAAGATAAAAGTGTTCTGCAAGTGAAAACCATCATTCATCTCTTGTGTGGATTTTAAGAAGAATGCGTCACTACAGAAACGTAGAGTTCGACAATAATTTGGGGCTTGGGACAGAAATGGAACAACTGCTCAAAAGAGGTACTTTGGATACATTATCGGTACTTCTCCGAATAGTTCCTGTGTTTTAACCCTCTGAGCAGCCAGAGTTTCTGCTAAGAAAGCACAAATTTCCTAAAACTACTATAAAAACAAATTAATTTTTTTAAATTTAAAGTAAAAACTATCCTGGTATTTCATATCTGGATTTGTTTTCTTTTGATATATTGCCTTACTTTCTTTGACATATTTCAATATGCACTTACTTATATATACATTCTTACAGATATCACAAAAAATATTCTAGGCTATATATATATACGGCCTTGCCGCTTAAAGGGTTAACTGCAGCCTTATAAATAAAACATGTCAGCCAGCTCCATGTTCATGCAGCAATGCACATCACATAAAATTTGCATGGAGAATGATATTTATGGCAGCAGAGCGCTTTTATCTGTTGCTCAACAGCACTTATATCACTTCAACATACAATTCTTACACACATTCCATTGTAAAATCATTTGCAATATTTCAGTCTCTTCTATCTGTCCCATATACCTTTACATTTTTGTTTGTTTGTTTGTTTGTTTCAGCTACTATACATATATGTATATACACTGAAGAGCTAAAACATTATGACTACCTACTCAATAACGTGTTGCGTGGCCTGCAAAACAGCTGCAACTCATCTTGGCATGGACACCACAAGTTCTTGGTAGATGATTTTAGACAGGTTGTACCAAATGTCTAAGCAGCTATCACGCAAAGTCGAGATATTCTGACATGGTGGTGTTTGAGCTTTGAGCTGCCACTACATTACATCCCAAATGTGTTCTATTGGGTTAAGATCTGGTGAGTTAGATGTCCAGGACATTAATTAAAATTCTTCCTTATGCTCCTCGAACCACTCCAACATAATTCAAGCCTTGTAACTTACGGCATTGTCCTGTTGGAAGATTCCATTTCCAGCTGGGAAGACAGACACCACATAAGGGTGCAACTGATCTGCAATTATGTTCAGATAGTCCACAGCTTTCATGGCCTGTTTTACCACAACTAAGGGTCCCAGAGCCGCCCATAAAAAAAAAAAAAGTCACTCGAAGCATAATACCGCCACCACGAGCCTATGTATGACCTGCTGTACAGGACGGGGAGACTAACTGATCGTCTGGAAGATGGCGTATACTGACACAACCATGATCATGATGAATGAGAAATTGTGACTCATCTTACAAGGCAACTGTGTTTCACTTATATATGGTCCAGTCTCAATGTTCCCAGGCCCATAATAGGTGTAGTTGAAAATAACATTTGGTCAACAGGGGATGAATGGGATGTCTACTGCGCGGTCCTATATCCAACATTGTTCACTAAACTGTGTGTTCTAAAATACTGCTGACTTTGCTGTACCAAGCGGGACTATCTTCAAATTCCTTTTTCTTTAATGATGCATGGATGTCCAACATCTTGGTGTGTACTGCTGGTTTCACCGTTATTTATCCACTTCGCATAAATACTAACAATGGCAGATCGGAATAGTGGCAACATAAATAATTATAACATTGGACAATGGTTGCAACATTAACTTAATGACCATATTTTTTCTCATTATACTTTAATTTTTATGTCTGCGTGTGTGTATATTTTTATACTGGCACATACATAATATATTCTTCTAACTAATCCCTTTAATCTCAATCAGATCAGATCCACTAGTTCATCACCTTCATAACTTCCAACACGAAATTGGGTCTCTTCAGCAGATCTTCACACATCAAGGAGACAGAATTAAGTAAATGTTACGCAGCAGCTTCATGGTTTTTACATTTGGTGCAAGTTGGAAGAGTTTTAGTACCACAGGAATATCTGAGGATCTTTAAATGTCCTAAAGTCAATCGAGCCAGAACCGTTTGGTTCTGCCTGTTACCCTTGAAACCAATAGCAGTACCCAGACTACGATACCATTAGGGTGTCGGTAGCTTTCTCCAAGCATTGTTAATTAAAGACTTTCTTCTCGAGTATAGTTCAAAGTAGATCAAAGGTTCAGCATAAACCTGAAGCATAGAAGTACCTCTCTTTTGCTAGTCTATCAGTTGTATCTTTATACATTCTTAAACAAAAAAAAAAAAAAAAAAAAAAAAAAAAAAAAAAAACGCACCACGACGCACCGAGAAGATATAAAGCAAATAGGACACAAATTGATATGCATACAGGTTTTGACGGAAAATGCAAAATTTTACATTTTGTCAGCCAATGAATGAACGGTTGTCGCTACAGCACATCTGATTTGCACAACTGGCAGGATATTTAAGAGGAGAAATTACGATTCCAGGTCATAAAATCTTCACGAATTTCATTCCATGTGCTCTGGTAGACAGTAACTATGCCTTGCATACAGGTGCGTGAACGATACGTGCAGATATCAAAATTTGAGAGAGGTCGTGTAGTTGGGCTCGAAGAAACCGGTTGGTCTTATCGGTGAATAGCTCGACATTTGAGCAGGAGTGATGCCATTATTAGTCAACGTTGGCAGGAATAGGTGAACCATAGCCGCACACAGCATCAAGAAGGAAGCGTTAGGCCTAGGGACAGGACAGAACAAGAAGATCGAGCAATCATCAGAGCGGCATTCTCAGCCCTAGATGCATCATTATCGACTGTATGTGCAACTAGTGCTTCTGTGACCACAAGGACCATTCATAGACAGCTCACAGAAAGGGGGCTGAGGTCACAATGCTCCTTGTGCCGACTACCAATGACCAAGCCTGTCAAGAACATTTGCACTGGTGTCGGGCTCATTTGCACTGGAATGTCACTGACTGGAGTAGAATAGTCTTCAGTGATGAGTCCTGCTTTGAACTGAGCCCTGATGACCAGCGAAGGCGAGTCTGAAGACGCCCCTGACAGTGGTGTGATACCAACCTGACTGTCTTCCGGCAGGCAGGCCGACAACCAGGAGTGATGGTCTGGGGTGCCATTTGATTTCACCCCTTTGGTTGCCATCCGTCGCAACCTTACAGCACAGCGGTACGTCGACGAAGTTCTAAGGCCTGTTGTGTAGCCCTTTATGTCAGGCCACCCTGAACTTACATTTCAGCAAGATAATGCCCACCCCCACACTGCACGTTTCTACTACTTGCTTTAGTGCTTGCCGAACATTACTTTGGCCAGCAAGGTCGCGTATCTCTCTCCTATTGAGCACATTGAAGCATTATGGGCAGGGCCCTAAAACCACCTCAGGATGTTGATGATCTAACATGCCTGTTGGACAGAATTTAGCATGCTATCCCTCAGGAAGACATCTGTAACCTCTATCAATCGATGCCAAGCCAAATAAATGCTTGCATAAGGGCCAGAAGTGGAAAAATATGTTACTGACTTTATCACTTTGTGAAGCTCTATCACTTCAATAAATCATCCAATTCTTCTCAAACTGTAATCATTTGTTTTTCTGTACATGTACATCACTTCTCCCGATTTTCTTTCCATTCGGATAACTCCTTCTTGGTGTGTCTTTTATTTATTTATTTATTTATTTATTTATTTATTTTGTCTAAGAATGTATTTGCCACAAAATCCTATTTAGCAGATGTTCCTGATACCTGAAGAAAAAGATACTAGTTGAATAAAAAAAATAACATATCTTACATGAGTTTCTATAATTTGAGAATAAAATGCAAAAGAGTCATTGCTTGTAGCAAATATAACATCATTATCCTCAGTCTGTGATGAAGCCAATAACAGAAAACCTGAAATAAAAATAAAAATATTTGTTTCATCGAAAAATAAATGAATTTTTATAAAAAAAAGTTTCTACAAAACTGATACTGAGGTAAATGTCAGTCTTTATTATTTTCTTACATCAAATGCTTAATCTATCAAGAAATGATTTTTTTTCCTTCGAAAAATGACGGGGATAATTTTATCTTCTCGTTATTCAAGTATGAATGATACAGTGTATCATATTGCTAATTTTCACACTGCCGTACTTAAATCATGATCATCCATGCACTTTTAAATTGTGCTTTGGGAGAAAAAATTTCAAAAATTTTATTTTACACTGCAATAATCAGATTTTGCATACTCAGGCTTAAATAAACTTGCATAACCGGGTTTGTACACATTTCTGCACACGGAAATTAAGTACCTTTAAGGACCATCAATGAAAAAAATTAAGGACCCATAAGCAAACTGGAACTGAATAAATTCAATTAAAAATATTACCTATGCCTGAATTTTTGTAATACCATCCTAAAAATAAAATAGATCCCTAAGTAGTATGTATTATTACTAAGCATGAATTAATTAACATACTTATAAATACGTTTGACAATAAAATAAACTTTAAGCAATTTATCAAGCAGCATTAAATATCTTATAATAGTTGGACATATTATTTGAAAGAAGATAAGTGACATTTACATTTTACTAAGAGTTAGCATTACTTTTTTTTTTTTTTTTTTTTTTTTGTCTCATTTTGTCACGTACTTGATCAGTCTAGAGGTTTAGTAAATAGCAGGTACATTTTATGTCAAATGACATAGGTTAAAATTAGAAGTAAGATCATAATCAGCATGATTCATAACAAAAGACTGAATGTTGTCACCGCTGCTGGTCTAGAGAGAGATCTGCCAATTAGAATAAACCTGAAGGGCCTGATCTAGGCACAGTTGGCAAGTGTTGTAAGTTAATCAGGATCTGTTTGATGCAGTTAGTGTTGTAGGTTCGTGTAGAGGTATAGGGTTTGTAACCCAGTTAATATACCTTAAGGTTCCAATAAGCCATTAAAGCACCAGAGGTGATAAGTAATTTGTATTATTTTAAGTCTCACTAGATGCAAAGAATAAGTTATACTTGAATTTTTACATTTTCGTATTTTATCTTGTGACCACAGTGAGTATTAATGAAAGGCAATAACTCGCTTTAATATGTAGAGATAATTTTTAAAAGTAAGCAGTTAGTTAAAAATAAATAATTAGGTAGTTTCACAGCCTTTAACATTATAGATTTACATGGCCACTACTAAATTTTATTTTTTAATAATATTTGTTAAAAAAACCTATTAAAATCAAAATCTAATAAAATTTCTCAGTTTAAAATACATGTAATTTATGACATTGATTCTTAAATGATATTAGGATAATTACACATTAAAAGCTACAAACGTTTATGTTATGTAACAACAACACTCAACAAAATATTTACCCATCATTTTAATTTGAAGCCTTCCCAAACATTTCGGCTAGTTTATATTGATTTCCTTCTCTTTAAGCATCTTTTCTAGCAATTAGAAATTTGTCTCAATATGCAAACTAATGCTCTTGCTAGTTTCTGAGTGCTTTATCTCCTAACTTGCCAATCTCCCCACAATGTACCTATGAGGGTTTACTTGACCTGCTAAAAGTTAAATAGTCCAAAACCCCCAACAGACATGAAGCATATTATCGCTATGTCTGAAAGTAACTACAATATCAAAGGTTTAAATAAGCCTCTTATTTAAAAAGAACTTAAGAGTATAAAGGCGTGTTCTGACACTAACAAAATCAATTACAGCTCACGATGATGTAACGGTGCAGACATTGGAAGCAGAATTTAAAAAGGCACTAGGCAGCAGAATTTAGGATCCACAGAGATTGCTTTTTATATTTTTCGAAAGACAGTGTCTTATTATATCTTTATTGCACTTAATAATGAGTTTGAGATTTAAATTACAATTATGTTAAAAGTAAATTTGATACCACAGTGATAATATTTTTATGTTTAAAAATGAAAATTTATTATTCAATTTTTAAATTTTTACATAACAGGTAATACTAAATTCAAAAGTAGAAAAAGAATTCTATTTGCGGAAAATCCTTAGTGCCCGCTCTGTGTATGATGCATTAAGACATATTAGATGAATCTTTTAAATTGTAAGTTTTCAATTTATTAATAAAAAAATCCCTTTATATAATGCCTGCCCAAATGATAAGATTAGAAGCATTTTCGAGATTTTCCATGCTTATATCTAGTGAAAAGTAGAGAAAATAAAGGGAAGATAAACATGTTAAGAAAAAGATTCTAGTATCGGGAGTAAAACATTCAAATATTATGTTTTCGTTGTTCTTCCAGACCTCCAAAAAATAAGAAATTTATCGCAATCTTTCTGTAAAATACATCCATTACGTGTTGATACCATGGAGATATTTTTCATTTTGTCACATATTTCTCGAATCTTCTAGAATCGTGGGTCTATAAATCTTGCCTTCAAATCCTTCTAAACTTTCCAAGCTGCAATGTTTAAAATACTAAAGAAAAATTATCCCTAACTATTCTGTAACAGCAAAAAGCTAGAAATATTTTGGGAGAGAATGGGGAGGGAAAAAGTGTAAAATTAATCTTATAGAGAAAACTGGTGCTTTTTCTGAGAATTTCGAGACAATTAATTACATGGGGAAAACGCTTACTACGAAAAAATTAAAAAGAAGACCCTTTTTAATTAATTACATAGCTAATTTTGCTTTTGCTAAGAGCTGTTTCCTAAATTATGCTTTATAGCATTATACCTTGTGTATTTTTCAGATTCAAAATATTGTATAATAAGTTGCCAAAAAGAAACTTTATAATATGACAGCAAAAAATAAAAATTCTTCTCATTCAAATTCTTCTAAACCTTCCTAACTGCAATGTCTAAAATCCTTACAAACAATTATCCCTACCAATTCCGTCACAGCAAAAAGCCAGAAACATTTTGGAAAAAAAAGGGAGGTAAAAAGTGTAAAATTAATATTATAGAGAAAACTGGTGTATATTCTGAGAATTTTCTAAAGAAACTTATCTTAAAATCGCTAAAATATTGATAAGTCACCAAATTTAGAACCATTTAATAAAGTCGCCAAATTTAGAACCATTTAATAAAAGAATTCACATCTCAAAAAGCGAAAAGTTGTTCAAAAGCTCTTTATTAGCAAAAATGAATTTCGAAATGCTTATGTTTCACTTCTTGTTTAGAAACTCGAGTATCCCATCATTTATATTAGAAATAAAAAGAAATTATAACCCATGAGCCCATTCAAAAGCTAACCATAGATGTCAGTGAATCGCCAAAAATATTTCTCCAAAATGCTAATTCACACTCAAAATGGTAGTCATAAAAACAAACAGAAATTTCAGATGATTAAAATTAAGCACCTTCTGCTGAGTTTGGCAGAAATTAAGGACTTTTAAGGACCAAAAATTGATCCCAAAAAATCTAAGGACTTTTAAGGACTCTTAAGAATTGTATGGTTATAGTGGTTCAAAATGGAAATGCCACAAAATGCTACAGCTGAAAGTTGTAGTATGGAATAAAGTTTATAATTACTTACATACAAATATGTGTATCTTTTTTTATATGCACTGAAGGAAAATGTAGTAAATAAAAGAATGATAACAGATTATTATTTACACTCAAATCTTTTTCCATTTGGAAAGGTTTTATAATTTGTTTATTTTTAGTTTAAATAAAGTACTTAGTGGTTAACTCAATACAACAGAATTATTTAAAATAAATGGCAATCCTAAAATTTAACATTCAGCTATTAATATGTTTGTATTATTAAGTTTAACCAATAGAAATTTCTTGCAGATACCTTTAGATTTCAGATACAAAATATATGTAAACTGTAATTTTTTCCTTGTTGTCATTATTATTGCTGTTTATAGATTTTAAGTAAATAAAATTTTAAACTTAGTTTAAAAAATTAGTTCTGTTAAAAAAGCTTTTATGTTTAAAAAAAATTCAGCCTGCAAGCAATTTGAATTGGAGACCACTGACTTAGATCATCAAACTTGGGATATAAAACTAGAAAAGGTCTGCAGTTTCTTATTAGACTAATTTAATAAATAGAATAAAAAAATCTCTTACAGAAAATCAGAAATGACTAATCTTTTTTTTACCTCTTTTGTAATATGCCATGTGTACATTTGATGGCCTAGCTACAGCTGCATTTGCTGTGAAACCAGGAGGAAGACGGACATGAAGTAGAGATAATATATATGGTCTGCTGTCCCCAAAACTACCATTTGTTGTGAAGTACAACCTCACACCTATTCAAAAAAGAAAAGTTTTACTAATTAATTGCTTTATAATCAAACAAAAGAAATACCATCAAATAAAAGGATTAAAACAGCACACAGAAAAATTACAAAATTCAGTGATTTAAAAAATTCTAACATAAATGAATATTTTGTTTAATCAGGCAGTTGCAGTAAAATAAATTGTGTATATACAGTAAGAGCCCAAATATCTGGCATTCAGCTAAGTGAAATATTTTTGCATTAAAGAAAATCTCCCCTCTTTTTCTAAATTAGAAAAATTAAGTAAACAACAGACCTGTAAAGCAGAATAAATAGAAACTATTTCAAATAGTGTGATTTAGCACCAATAATGGATAATTGTGTTGTCACAACACAATAAGATCTTCACCTTGATTTTATGTAAACCTGCTTAATTCTCAATATACTGATTTAATTTTTGCAAAGAACGATATCAGTTAATTGCTACTGATCTATTTTTTCATCACATTTTGAAAAATATAATTAAAATATAGTAGAGTATTTTCAAAAGTACAGTATTCTGACATCAAGAAAACCATGCATCAATGCACATGATATGAAACTATCTTTGAAAGCAGATAAACACTAGCATAATGCATCCAGAAGAATTATAACAAGCAATTTAAGCTTTTCATATTTTATACCCATTAATTGTATATGTTGATCATTTAACTAAATGAAGAGTGATTCATTCAAACTTCTGCCAGACAGGCTTTCGCAAGTTTGACCTCTACCAATTTTCAGAGTCAACAAAATTTCATACTCAGATACACTTTACTTTTACACGCAAATGTTGGCTATAAAAGTATGTCAACTTTTATGTTCTTTTTTTTTTTTTTTTTTATTTTTTTTATTTTTTATTTATTTATTTATTTATTTAAATGTAGGCTTTGATATATGAGTTGATAACAAGGAGATTCCTTTTTTATTATTTTAGACTGAAAACTTCTTTTTCCATTCATTTGGCATTTCTACCATGAATTGCATTTTTTATACACACAGTTATTTGCTTAACCTGCATTTCCTGAACTTTTACTGCAATTAACAATTACATGCCCAGCCCAAAAGGAAAAACAAGGAAACAAAGCTCATAAAACAGAGAAATCAAAAACACTTTGCCGTGAGGTTACAAAGGAAAAATCTCAAAAGTACAAGATTTTAAAATTTTACATTTTGCACATTAATTATGATCTAAGTTTTTAATGATATACAGTTATGCTTATTCGATATACACCTAGTAAATTTAGTAACTTAAATAAGCACAATTCAAATTGATGGCCTTGAACGACAGAAACACTACCTGCAGCAAGAGCTGCAGTTTACGCAGAAAGCCTCTATTACAGCTGTAGCTTGAATATCATGAACAGGGAGCTTCAGTCCGAAGCTATCAATAACTAATAGACAATGCATGAATCCTTTTCAAAGTTGTAGTGGGACAACGAGGTTTCGAAGTTACGCAGAAATTCCATTGATTGATTGCAATGCAGCTATTTGTGTGTTTTAGCATGGAATGCATTATTACAGACTAATTTTTACATTGCTCAAATGGCTGGATGCATTAACTTATGCATGTAGTTATAACATTAATTTTCTGAATGGCTTTATAATGTAAAGTCATTCTAGTAGATAAGACACAATATAATTATATCTCTGAATTTGGAAGTTTACTCTTTTTATTGGTAATAAGTTGCAAATATTAATGTTTCCTTTAACTAATTACTTAATGCAGAACATAAACTAAACCTGAAAGCACTGAAAATTAATTTTCCCAAAAACAAATGAAGACTCTCTGTATTCTCATACAATGGAGGAAAATTCCATTAATAGACTAGACTAATAAACAGTTCAAAAATATCTAATTAGTAGTAATTTTGGGTGAAAGGAAATGCTGTAAGAAGATTCAGTTAAAAGAATTTACGGGGAAAGAACAACAATTTTATTTTACCAGCAATTTCTTCATAATCACTAAGACAAATAACTTCATAATTGCAAGATAATATTATTTGCGGAACAATATTATTTGTCTCTTTTATGCATGCATATCCATTATAAATTGCAAAATATAGTCCAATTAACATTTTGAGTTGAGGTAGCATTTTTTAGACATGTGTTTCAAAGCAAAGATCAGAGCTCTTTGATATGTTAATATAGTAAATTTGTCTCTTTAATAATATATGCCTATACTAATTCAGAAGTCAAACAACAAAAATCAGCGTTATATTTTCGAAATTTTCACAGGACTAGTTTCGAGGGTTTTACCAAACCACCATCCTCAGTTGCAAAACCGCAAATGAACAAGATAGTAAAATAATGATTAGATAATATAAGAAAGCCTGGGCAAGAATAATCAAGTGGCGCCATCCGTTGATGAAATCAGAACTAAAACATAATTTCTTTAAAGGCCGAAGGCAAAGTTGAATTAGAATTAGGATCGTTAACCAGAACAGAAAGAATTTTTTTGAATGTGAAATGCCTCTAGAAAATCGAGTTCTCCAATGGAAGGTGTTTTTTTAATAATTTTGGCAGCAGAAAAATTGAAAGTGTGATTTTCGGACCACAAAGTTGAGCAACAGAAGACTTCTGTGTTTCCTTTTTTCTAACATATGCCTCATGTTCCTTGATGGGAAATTTTAAGGCTCTCTTAGTTTGGCCAATGTAAATTAAACCACGCTGGCAAGGAATCCTATAAATACCCCAGGAATTCATATGCAGAATGGGGTCCTTGAGTATGGAACTCGAAATTTTATTGATGGGAGAATAAATGACCCGAAAGTTAAATTTCTGCAAAATATGTGCTACTTTATAGCTAATTGATCGAAAGAAGGGAATGACAACATAATTTTTATAATCTCCTAAAACAAGAGTGTGCCTTTTAGTGTGTTCAGATGAGAATTTTTTAACTGCTTGATTAATAATGTTGGGTGAAAAGCCCCTGTCAATAGCTATTGCTTTTAAATAATTTAGTTCTTCATCAAGGAATAGTCATGGAAAACATAGGACCACCACACTTTAAATCATATCATCCAACTAAACAAAAGTTGGCTTCATTTTATTCCTATGTTTCAGTTGATAAATAATGAAATTGAAAATATAAAATTGCCTAAATTACATATTAGTAAACATTATGGTAATTATTCTGGTTGGTTAGATTTTTTAAATTTATTTGAAAGCTCTGTTCATAATAATCCTAAATTAAGCAAAGTTGATAAATTTAATTATTTGAAATTATCTCGGTGGTACCGCGGCAGCATGTATTAGTGGATTTGCTTTAAGTGATGAAAATTATGCTAAAGCACTTGATTTATTGAAAGAAAGGTTCGGAAATAAAAACATTTTGTTTAACACTTCATTTGAGTGTTTTGCTGAATTTAACTCGTTAAAATTCCTAAACGATATTATAAGTTTACGAAATTTATATGATAACGCGGAAATGCAGATCAGAAGCTTAGATTCTTTGGGAATTACAGGCGAATCATATGCAAATCTATTGACACCAATTTTAATGAAATTAATTCCTTCAGAATTCGTTTTGGAATTTAATCGCATTGAAGATGACAAAGAATTTGACTTAAAAACTCTTTTGCAATTTATTAATAAAGAAATTCGAAGCCACAAGAGATCCTTTCCAATAAATAATTATAAATCATGGAATCAGAGTGTGCAGTTATTTTCCCCGCAAGAGAAAATAAAAAATAAGAATTCTACTTCCGTTAGACATAACTCTTCAAGACTTCCACATAAGAGGCAGAATTCTTTCTCCTCCCCACACACCTGGATTCCTGGCGTCAGTCGAAAATGTAATGTGTTTACTTTGTAACAAAGGTCATAAATCAGAGTCATGCTCTACATTTAACCATCTAAGCGGCAAGGCCATATATATAAGGCCTAGAATATTTATTGTGATGTCTGTAAGAAAGTATATATACGTGCATATTAAAATATGTCAAAGAAATTAAGGCAATATATCAAAAGAAAACAAATCCAGGTATGAAATACCAGTAGAGTTTTTACATTAAAATCATAAAAATAATTTGTTTTCATAGTAGTTTTGGGAAATTTGTGCTTTCTTAGTGAAAACCCTGGCCGTTCAGAGGGTTAAGCAAATGAAAAGAGAGATATATTGAAAACATGAAGTCTATGTTTCCGTTGTCTGACCCCAAACCATAGAGCTGCAGAATGTTTGAAAAAGGAACTGTGTCCCATCTGCAGTAAACCTCACCATGTCTCAATCTGTTTTCAAAATCTAAATAATCCACACATTATTTCTACAAAAGGAGAAACCGATAAGCTCGTATCGGCGAATATCGTATCGGCAAAAAAGAATACTATGTTACAAACATGTTCAACCTTAATTGATAATGGAAAAGAGCAGCAAAATTGTTAGAATTTTCCTGGACAATGGTTCACACCGTTCCTTTGTTTTATCAGCTATTTCCAAAAGATTTAACTTTCCAGTTGTTAGAAAGAAAAGCCTTTCCATTTGCACATTTGATACTAAGGAAACAGAAACAAAATCATTTAATGTATTTAAACTTAAATTAAAGAATAGAGATGATCCAAATTTATGCATAGAAATTGAAGCACTGGAGACAGAACATATTTCGGGCACACATTTACCGACTCCCGATAAAAATATTGAGAAATGATTTAGACGTTTAAAAAACGTACAACTAGCGGACTGTTATGAATTTAACAACAAAGAAATATCAATACTAATAGGTGCAGATTACCATTATGATATTGTCACTGGTCGAATTACACGCCTAAGCAAAACCCTCGTTGCAGTTGAAACAATATTTGGGTGGTGTTTGCAAGGACGAAACACGAACTTAAATGAAATGTTTGCAATGAGTGTTATGGTAAACGAATCCAATATTTCCGATCAAATCAAGGAATTTTGGGATTTAGAGAATTTGGGTATCGAGGCAGAAGTAGCTGGCATAGAACCCACTGAGAAAGGTATAATGAGTGAATTTGAATCTGGAATTACA